ATATGTTCTTCTTTCCTTGCATAAAAGTTTAATCACGGCAGTAGCTGCTTCTGCAATTTCAAATACATTAGTTGCCTCTAACAATACTAATTAATGCATCTCGGTAAGCACCAGAACAATCAGATTTGATAAAATCCTCTAATGGCTTTTTATACATTTTCTCGAATTCTTGCCGTATGAGGACCAAATCAATTTCTGAGCGAGAGATAATTATACGAATCAGATCGTTGTCTCTAGTTCCAAAACCCTGAAATTCCATATTTTGAGTAATTTTTATACTAGTTTTCAATCTCCCTGGATACAATCTAATTTTCCTTAGACACCTTTCCGTTTCAGGTTTATCACAGTTGTTGTAGTCTAAAAGTTAAAATGTAATTAAAATTTAAAAAACCTGCCTCCAAAACTCAATCAATAAACAGTTACTTAATTTTACGGCAAGTAAAACCTACCTTCATTGATTTATACAGTTCCTCAGCAAAATAGGCTGGTTTATTCCGAATACATTTTATTAGAGTCAAGAATCCATCTTTTGCATCTCCACTGAATTCTGACTAAAATTTATTGCATAAATTTAAGGCTCGTAGACTACTAAAAGTGAAAAATTCCTCTAATGTGCATATAACTTGAAACAGTCAAAGTAAACTGCGAAGATCTTGCTAAAAAAAAAAAAAGAAAGTCAAAAAAGTAAAAACATAGTAAGCTGTGTTGTTCAGAAAAACAGTAGCTTCTTTTCAAAGTTATATTTTGAAAAAACAACTTGAACTAAACGCTTTCTAGGCTCAGTATTATGCCAAGTATAAGCGAGGTTTCTTGTTCGCTTACTTCAATAGCCTTTTCAATTGGATGGCCAGCAATTTTTTCATACTCCTTAAAAACCAATTCGAGTTGGCGGAAATTTTGTGCCAATAGAATGGCTGTAAACGTCGATTCTTCGGTACCAAATTTCTTCTCTCCATCATTGTATAGTTTTCTAGCGTCCTATAAAAACAGCACCAATTATTATTTCTTATATGTTAAAAATAGTTATTAGCTGATTTAATAAAGTGACTTTTACTAGTATTTTATGGTGTCCAGAATCACTAACATCTGTGATCAGTTATGGAGGATAACATCCTGTTATTGTCTTTCCTGTCACCTTTTTCATAATTAAAAAGCCACAAGAAGTTTTGAAAAGACTTGCATGATTTGCTTTTACTGGATCAACGTGATCACTTTCATCTCGATTAGCTTGTATCAATGATACCAGAATCCTCTGGAACAGGCCACTTGTATCTCCAATAATAGCACTTTCCAGCGTTTTTCCATATGCGTTCTGATACTCGTTTTTGATAGCGATCATCTCCTCCTTAGTTCGCGAACAAAGTAGCTCAATTAACACTTTTTCGTTTGTTCCAAGTCCCTCCAAAAAAGCGAGAAGGTTTATGTTAGAAGTTACGTGACCAGAAGACTACCAAATTTGTTTTTTTCATTCAATTTAGTCACAGTTCAAAAGATGATCTGAGTTCAAAACTGAAGCTTTAGTAACAAAAAAAGAGAAAAAAAAGGATAATTCTTACCTTTACGGCTTTTCGTAGTTGTACGACATCGTATTTGGTCTGAGTGTCCATTAGACCGATCATAACATCCTCAAAATCACCAGAAAGTTCCTTCTTCAACTGTGTAATTAAATCTCTTCCATATTTAGTTTTGTACGGCGTTCTTATCTGAAGACCAAGTAGAGGATGTTTGATTTGACAACGAACTGCACAAAAATGGCAAAATATCGTCATTTTCTTGAATTAAATTTAAGCAGTCTTTTGCTACAAATCTAGCAAATGAAATACTTGACACAGATACTAGACAGAAAAAGCATTTAATGAGCTTGAAGTTACTGTTCTGATATGAAAAAAAAAAGAAGACTTGAAGTCATACCATTTGTCGCTGAGCATTACTGCAACGGGTCAAAACTTCTAGTATCCGATTTTTGTCGCATCCTCGTCCTTTCATTGCATTCTCCAATGAGTCTGCTGCAGCTTCAGCGTCAAACTGATCCTTTGGACGAATGGTACCGTAATATGACATCCCTAAAAATCATCTCATTAATCTCTTTTGCTTTTTTCGCATTGATAACTGATTTTTTCTGATTTTAACTTTAATCGCTTCATTTTTTTTAAACGCATTCTTAATATACAATCTGTGCACCTTCTAAATCCACCTTTTCAGCAAATTTTGATAGTAAAAAAAAAAAGCAGAAAATAAGGTTCACAAAAGAAAATTTTGCTGAGAAAAACTCAATGATACTGGATGTATTGTATGTTTACAGTTGAACTATGAATCACTAAAACCTTTTTTTTTTTTTGGTATAAAACCAGTATTTCACTCAGTGCATTGTGAAAATACAACGATTTCGTTGATAACTATTGTAATATGGAACAAGAAGCAAAATTTTTTTTTCTAATCTACTATGGAGATAATTTTTTCCTGTCACGCAGGAAGAGAGTAAGGTATAGAAAATCGGTTAAAAAACTTGAACATGAATAAAGTAAATGGAAGAAAAAAATAGAACATTATAGACAACTGTTAATGAAGAAATCCAATTATAAAATTCCCAGCTCCATATTGCCTCGACAGTGTGAGTGTGTGTTTGCTCAGAACATAGTCAAATAGAAAATTGTGTATTTGCAAACGAAGATGATCAAGGTGTAAACAGAAGGAAGAAAGAAAAAAGTCTTGCATTAACTAATGCTATAGAAGTTTTCAGCTCAAAGTTTGTATTCTATGCTAAGCTAAACAGCAGTGAATTTCTCCAGTCAAATAAAACAGTGCCTGGTACACGTGGCGTTTGCAATAAATAAGGAAAGGAAAAAAAAACAGTAAAAACTTTTCAACTTTACTTGAATTTCAAAAGCTTAAAAAAGATGAATCTAAAATTGTCAGAAGAGTAAGAAAATTTTTTGAACAGATACAGCAACCATAAACATCAATTAGAGAGGATAAAAAAGATGTTAGCGTTTTAGTGAAAAACCTTCAAGTTTTAGACAAGTTTCAGACTAACAAACTTCCACTCCTATTGATCAACCATTAAAGTTTTTTTCCATATCTAAATATCTAAAAGTAAAAAAAAAAAACAAAATAAAATTTTCTTATTAAAATTACATCCCGTTGAGTGAATCAGTAAGTCAGTAGGAGAACAAAAGAGATAATCATCAAGTAAAGTTTGGAGGCGACAGAAAACGATTAACTGTATAGAACTGCCCGCTTGTTAGATGTTCTTTGGGTGAACTAAAGTAAACAACCAGGGAAACTACCAAAAGTATAAGTGATTTCAACATTAAAAGTTTGTAGAAAATAAAAGATTGAACTATTTTACAGTTAATCAGTGCAGATTAAGTTTTAATAATAGCAAACAGTTTTTTTTTTTTTTTTTTTT